AACCTACATATAAAATTTGAGAAAGATCCCTCTGGTACTTCTTGAGAAATAGCGATAACAAACTTTCACTATCAAAATCCAAGATGGCTGCCTGTCGGCCATGTTGTTTATCCGATCAGTCTTAAAAGTTGCCCTGCACAGCTCAGGACCAAGGGGAACCTACATATCAAATTTGAGAAAGATCCCTCTAGTACTTCTCGAGAAATAGCGATAACAAACTTTCAATATCAAAATCCAAGATGGCTGCCTGTCGGCCATGTTGTTTATCCAATCAGTCTCAAAAGTTGCCCTGCACAGCTCAGGACCAAGGGGAACCTGCATATACTTGAGAAATACCGATAACAAAGAATTGTTTACGGACGGACGACGGACAACGGACGGACGACGGACCACGGACGCAGGGTGATTTGAATAGCCCACCATCAGATGATGGTTGGCTAAAAATGAGGAAGACAAGAGAAACAAAAACGAACACAGTCAGACTTGCCAATCCTGTGCCAAATGTTGCTATCTAGAAATTATAATTGTACATCATCAAAATGAAATATGAAGGCCTGGACAAGGAGGGTAACTCTAAACGTTTATTGCTTTGCCTTCTGTATACACGTAGAAGGGAGTATATAATACACCCAGTCAAATAAAAATGTCTCAGAAGTGAGCCCTTCTCAATTATAACTGGTGCAACAATTGTACTGGTGCAATGGTTTCTGTTATTAAAAGGATCCCTGTCCCACTGCACGTTTTTTTCTATTTATGCAGTGATTTATTTTGCTCAGTTTTACTGTCGAATCATTATGGGCTGTTTCCCCTAGCTAGTAAGTGTCTTACTTTCCCCAAATGACCAAAAACTGAAGAATATATTCCCAAATTCAATAAAAAAAATGTTTTATTTTACTAATTCATTAAGGAACAGGCTGTTGTAAAATTTAGGTAGCAAAAACACTGTTATGGTAACCTTCCCTTAACTTCAATTTGGATATAACTCTAGCAAGGAAACCCTGTATCTATATAGCCATTGCCCAGGTGGCTCAATCGGTTAGAGATATGGTATTACAGACTGAGGTTTAGTGTTCAAACCTTGGTCCATCCCAACTAACCTTTTTTACATTCAGAACTCTCTGGTTGATTTTGTTTTACTTATTTCAACTTTATCATTTCTCGTGAAAGTCCTGCAAGGTATGGTTTTCTTTTAAAAAAATATTTATCAAAGCTATAGTAATGCCAGAAAAAACAGTTCCGATTCTGAAGTAGAGCTTTCGGCAGTGGTAAGGGCTGGGGATCCTTAAAGCAGCTGAAAGTAATTTATGGAATTCAGGGGTTTTGCCAGCTATTTTGGGAAAAGTCGACCCCTGAGCAGGAATTGGGAAAATATCATCGGCATTCGGCAAAAATTGGGAAAATATCATCAGTGTTCCCACATGTACAGGTTTGAGAAAATATCATAAGTTTTGGGGAAAAAAATGTTTATTACAGTAAAATGTATAGCAATATAATAAACACATCAAGTTTTGATTATTTATGTATTTTGAATGCTCCTTTATGGAAGATAATACTTTGAACATTGCATCTATATAACAACTGGAAACTGGTATAAACATGCTTTTTAATCCAATTGGAAAATAAAGACTGAAATTGGGGAAATGCTTGGTCTTTTATCCCTGTACCGGACCCTATAAACACCTGGCAAAAACACTGGAATTATTCAAAGTCAATAGAGGTAATCGTAAAATTTCACATTTTTTTATTTTTTTTTATCAAAGACTGAAATAGGGAAAATGCTTGGTTATTTTTCAATTGGGAATGGTTTCCCTGTATCGGACCTTATAAACACTAACTGGAATTATTCAAAGTCAATAGAGGTCATCGTAAAATTTTATATAATATTTTTTGTATATTTTGGATCTTGAAACATGCACGCTTAATTTATAATTCCTACAAAAGTTTTAAAGGGCTGGTTACAAACTTCAAGTATGCATGTGTGACAGGTAACGCTATCAGGATATTTATATCTATAGGTGAACACCTGAATTAGCCTGTATGGTAATATAAATAGGAATGTCACTCAATTTCTACAACATAGGTTTATATATAGAAGTATGAAAGCATGCAGGGTGATGATAGATCTTGCCATTTGCATACACCAACTGATTGTTCAATGCTTGTAGTTGAGTAGTCAACTAAAAAAGACTAGCAAATGTCTGAAAGACATGAATGCCCCCCACCAACATGTGACATTAGTTTCAGTGTTTACTAATTTTCTATTGACAGTTACGACAGCTTTGATCTTGACACCCATTCAAGGTATATCAATTATCATACTTTAAGTCAATAATACATAGAAATGTCAGGTGTTCTCGTTCCTGACCTTTGTATAAAGTTTTATCAAAATCCATTAGGAAATAAAGTTGGAGAACAGATGTTACTGAACTGGTATAATAGCGATTATGACCTTGGCCTTCCCACCATGACCTTGGAATCCTAAAACAAGAATTCATCTGGTGTATTTGCGTACTTTGGACATTTATACAATTTTGATGAAAATCTGTCAAAGTATCATCAATGAAGTTGCTAGAGTGTTTACATTTTATGGCAGTACGGTGGGGGTGGGGGTGNGCTATTCCACCTCTTATAAGCAATATGTCAATCATTTCTAAACATTTTCTTCAGGTTGGTAATTATGGATTGTGAAAAGATTCATGCAGCACAACCAAAAAGTGTTGATATGTGACGTTTTGAAGACAAGTGTGGTATGTACTCGATCACCTTCATCAGACATTAAATGACCAGTGAAGCGTATACACAAAGTGTAAAATGTGTACGAGTTGTCCACAAATCGATGTCATTTAGCTATGCTGTAAGCGTATGTACAATTAGCTGTTATATATATGTACCTTAATGACTTGATTCAGCTATGTATTGTTCACACTTTGTCATAGATGTCCGAGAGTATATGAGCCCCCTCGCTCGGTTCAAAACTGGCCCACTGCGGGGTATCCAGATGGTTATCTTTATCTGCTGCTTGAACAGATTGCTCTCTAGATCTGTGTCCACTACTTTGGCATTATCCCAGTCAATCACATGATTTTTCTGTGTAGCATAGTCTGTGATTGCAGTTTTATTGATCTAAGACTCCTGGGTGACCTTTCTGATCAGGTGAATTTCTTTCCCCATTGGGTTTCCGTATCTTTCCTGTGTTCACTAACGTTGTCCCCAAATCGCCTTCCAGTCTCTCCAATATACGATGCGTCACATTTTTTGCATCTGATTTCGTATCAATATCCTGCTTTGTTTTCTTTAGGTGTTTGTCCTTTGGCTTTGGGTGTACTAGGATGTAACGAAGCGTCTTGTGGGGCCTTAACGTTATATTTTTCTGTTTTATGTAGTTAAATATGACAAGGAATAGCAATAAAGATAGTGCTGTCGCTGGGGCTCAAACCTGCGACCCTTGTCCTTGGCTCTCCAGCCTGATACTCTACCGCTGAGCTATTAGGGAAATTCCCTACAGATGAAGCTTGTAAGGCAACCTAATTAATGCACATCTTTTACAATAGAACTATCCCCCTTTTTTTTCAAACACCAACCCAGGTTCTTGGACTCCCTCCTCAAGGGTTCTCCTACCTTGAACAGGGAGGGTCAATGGCACCAATTTGTAGTAGGACGAGGAATAGCGATAATGATAGTGCCGTCGCTGGGGCTCAAACCTGCGATCCTTAGCTCTCCAGTCCGATACTCTACCGCTAAGCTAAAGGGAAATTCCCTACAGCTGACTCTTCTAAGGCAACTTAATGCACATCTTTTACATTTACATAACAAACAGAAACAAACCAATGGTCCAACCACAAGGGTTTGTTACAAATGTCTGAAATACACATAGGCTATACTGATGGGTCACAGCAAACATAAACATACTTGTGCTGACTGACCCATATCAGTATAGCATGTGTATTTCAGACATTTGTAACGAACCCCTATTGTCCAACATTATTTTTTAACAACACCTGTTGATCAGTTCAAAATGTTTGGCTGCAGTCTGGCTGGATCTTATAGACCACTGGTGTTCGGGTTCTGGAATATATATATGTGATATATTATCGCACCCCACCAGATACCGCACCCCCTTATATTAATATTATTCAATTATAGCCTTTGGCTGAGGTCGATTTATCGACCCAAAAGCAAAGGCTACAATTGTTTTATTATTTTCAAAACAGTAATGTTAGCAATTTTTAAAAAAAATCACAGCAAAAATCTACGGAAGCGGGACGATGCGTTCGTTTGGAGACACATCATAATTCAATTTTTAGAAACACCCAGTCCTTCAACAAAAATCATGCGCTCAAAGTCAATATCGGATTTTATCGGTGGACACGTGATGCACTCCTGGCCAATCACTTGTCGGGAAAAATATGAAAAAATAATAAGATTTATTAGTATTTATAAGGGAGTGCTATATCTAGTGGGGTGCGACAATATATCACATATGATTCCAAGATCGAGCACCTGTGGTTTAGACATTAGGTTTAAATTATAATCAGGCCCATGTTTAAGGAACATTCCATGACATTAAGAAAATCTTAAAAATGAAAATCTCATATCATTAAGCAATATTATATATATATTCATGTATTGGAATAAAGGAAAACTCTTCAGTTTATTATAGAAATGTTTCTGCAAATTTTGATAGTAATACTTTCATATATTATATGGAAAATCAGAAGATTTTTTAAAAAGAAAACAAGTTAATTTGAACTTGGGTCAGTGACCGTCACCAGCCCACATTCAATAAAGCATGGTTAGATTTAACTGTAAGCTCACGTAACCCTAGTCATTATTTTAATAATCATTTGTAAATTTCAGTAAATACCTCAGTCTGATATTAGTATCCACAACACATTGGTGTTATTAAATGGTGTCATTATTTGATAAACTACTAGAAATCACAGTTTTCTCAGATCAGAGATTACAAGGCCGCTAATCTGGCTTAAAAATTCCGCATGGAGAGTCAATGGCAAGGCTCCGCAGTGTGTTATATGCGATATGACACTGACTGGTATGATTATAGTAACCATTAAACACAACCGATGTGTGACTATATTTGTTCTAATAACTCACCACGATACAGTCTCGGACCCTCTCTCCATCCTGTGCGATTTGTTTAGACATTTTCAATACAACAAGCTGTAACTATGTTAACTCCAGCATTCACACTGACTGCTAGCTAGCACATGGTATCGGTTATGTATGGTAAAGATTAGATGTTGTACGGGTGCTACTAACTACAGCCCGGTAAAGCCCGGTAAAGCCCGGCACAGACCGGGACAGCCCGGTAGTGATATTATGTTATTGACCGCCCGAGCGTTTGTCTCCACTTATACACCAGTACAACTGTATGTTTTACATTCTTTGTAACAATATGAATGCAATGGCCAAGAAGTGGTGAAAAAAAATCATCAAATTAGAGCGAGTTAGGCCCTATGGGTTTTGGAAATTAACATCGCAACAACCCGCTGGAGAAGAGACAGACATTTGTTATTTGCAATACAAACACCACCCGAGCTTTCACCTGTGTAGTAGTAAACTGTACAGAAACAACCTTTTCGCATAGTTTTAGGAACGAAAAATACACAACTGAAGAAAATATCAAATTATGTTCGTAAACAGCCAAGTTATTGTAATTTGAAGGTAACCAACACTGCAGGACTTATTATTTACAATATAAGGACTCTGTAAAGTTAATTTAATTAAAGTACTTTACTCGGGTTATTTAATGAATGAGAAATAAAACACCAAAGACAGTGTGACACTATCTTCATTATAAACAGATGTATGCTGATCTAACTTTAGATACTTCGCTACATTACGCTGAAGCTCATATCACGCGTGCTATTTGCAGCATCGGGACCGCCCGGGATTTCATCTTTATCGTTAGGTCAATTAAAACTCTTTATTTGTTAAGATGTGAGTGTAAATAACCCAATGCTGAAAAAAATGTTACAGTAGGTTGATTATACACCTGGATTTGTTCCTCAAGCATACGATATATGTACACTAGCTGGAATCACGCGTTTTATGTGTAATATCGGTGTCGCCCAGGCTTTCATCTTTATTCGTTTTTTCACTGGAATAACATACACATCAGCAACTAAACTTTAGTTGCTGATGTGTATGTTACACAAGTGAAAAAAATAGGAGAATGTGTTAATTATTGGCATAGTTATGTTGTTTTGAAATTAGTTGCTTCTCATACTGCTGAAAATCACCCATGCTATTTGTAATATCGGGTTTGCTCGGGCCTTCACCAGTTTCATTAGCTCTACCAAAACTATTCAATTGTTAAAGTATGTATGAAGTTCACACAATTCTGAAAAATGTGAGAGTATGTTAAAAATTGGCATAGTAATGGTGTTTTGAAATTAGTTACTTCTCAACCATACGCAGCTGCTGAAATCATGCGTGTTACTTGTAATATCGGGTTCGCCCGGGCTTTCATCTTTATCGTTAGCCAATTAAAACTTTATAATTGTTTAGGTAACACAATGCTGATTTTTTTTAGAATTATTAGAGGAGTTTTGGTGTTTTTAAATGAGATAATCTTCAACCATAGGCTACAGCTGAAATCACGCGTGTTTTTTGTAATATCGGGGTCGCCCGAGCTTTCATCTCATTCCTTTAGTTCCTAATATATATATTGCACCGGTGAAAACAATTCGGAGAATACGTTAAGTATTGGCACAGTTATATTGTTTTGAAATTAATATACTTCTCAACCATACAGTAGGCCTACTGCTGGAAATCACGCGTTATTTGCAATATCGGGGTCGCCCGGGCCTTCACCACTTTTATTAGCTCAACTAAAACTATTCAGTTGTTAAAGTATGTATGAAACTAAATAAATTTTTAAAAAAGATGTGATATTATGTTAAAAATTGGCATAGTAATGATGTTTTGAAATTAGTTACTTCTCAACCAAACGCAGAGCTCTGCTAATTCACACATGCTATTTGTAATGTCGGGATCGCCAGAGCTTTCACCTTATATCGTTAGCCCCACTAACACTTTTTAATTAATTGTTTAGGTATGTGTGTTAATAACACAACGCTGAAAACAATGTTAGGATATCGTAATTATTGGCGGAGTTGTGGTGTTTTGAAATTAGTTACTACTTCTCAGCCAAACCATACTATACAGCTGAAACTACGCATGGTATTTGTAATATCGGATTGGCCTGGGCTTTCACCTGTTCCGTTACCGAATAATTTACTTCGCCACCATGCATTTCGCTGTATCATATATTATATATTTATAAACATAAGTTTTATAGTTCGAATTTCTAATAAATGGATGGCCGGGTGGCACAGTGGCTAGCGCACTTGCCTTTCACCATGACGGCCGGGGTTTGATTCCCCGATCGGACATGAAAAGGTATCCACGGAGTCACCTGCCCGACGATGTGGGGTTTCTTATACATATATTCAAATAGACTTTACCAAATTTACTTTTCCATATTTTATTTTAAATCGGTGTTGACGATGTCGTAAATTGTCTGGACCGCTCGATCGGAGCCTTCAGCAAAAACTTAACTTAAAATCGTTTACTAAATTGATATACTCACTGCATTTATGTTATTAAATTTGATACACACAGATGTTACACCATTACCCGCGTGCGAAATATTAGAACATCTTAACAAATTGGTAATTGATATGGCAAGCCAACTTGAACTGCGTTCATGAGATTCTGTAAAATATCATGTTCGTGTATAGAAATTAAATGAGATATCCTTTACACTATATATACAATTTCTGATATCATATGTCTCATTTTAATTTTTAGGATTAATCAAATGTCAGCTACCTCGTTTACTATGAAGATATATTGAGTAGGAACGCGATTTTAACAATACATATCGAAAAGAATGCTCCCTCCCCGGAATCTTCAGATCTTGAATAATCTTCCCAAATACAATATTGAAAATGCTTTTTGAATGAAAGTTAAATTGTCTTGCCAAAAATTGAGATTTATCACAAAAGTACGTTTCTTTGTCATCAGTGTTTCAGTTAAGAAATACAATAACTATTGCTAATAAGTAGGTGGATTAGAAGCGTTTTTATAGCCTCAATGGCACTTTTTGGGGAATATTAGTGGCCCTAATAAGGTCCGTTTTTGGTCATCTTCAAAGACAACGATGGATCGCTGTCTGGATGCTGGAGTAGATTCTGGTTTCCAGCGCTGTTTAGGTAAACCCCGTCATGACTGATAAACTTCTGTTTCATAAATGCGTGTTTCCAGAATGTGAAGACTCCCTGGTTGCTGGTCATCTTCAAGATGTGCTTTATCTTTCTCTTCTTTTTGTGATATTCGCCTTGTGTCATCTTTCTAGGTATGGGTCTTGGGAACAAGAGCCAACGATGAATGTAGGACTCCTA